GTAAATAAATTATATCATTAGAAGAAAAAACTTTTATGAGATTTTGTAGGTGATATGTGCCTTAAGTACTGGTTTAATTCTGATCCAGTAGAAATTCTTAGTTCGAGAGAGGTTGAAATAAAATGACAAAAACTTCGATTAAATGAGTTCATGTAACCTGTGACGTCATATGAGTTAGTTAACAAAAACGGCACATATTCTAAGAAAGACACTTAGGCACTTTAAAGCCTACTGCGCTGAGTCAAGTGATCACCGACCTAGAGATCTACACCAGTTACAAYATTACTATCAAAGCCGTTAGTATAGTAGGTCATGGGAAATGGAGTCAGCCAATGAACTTCACAACAGACTCAGACGGTAAGTACGACACGGTGTCTTAAAATGTATTGATCTTTTCATCGGAATATTCCAAATATTTATAATAAAAAGGATGAATCATTGCGTGTCTTGTGTGCTATGTCTTTTAGTTCCCTTGGGTTTTCCTAACTCGATTACAGGAGAAGCCTAGACTTCACAAATAAAGTATACGCATTACTTGGCAGGTGAGGTCCATAAATCTTGAAAACCCAATAAGTATTCAGTATAAGTTCGTTGAGAGTTTGCATTCGTTTTATTTTTAAGGCTCCAACATCTGGAATCAATGGTCCTTTTCTTGGATACAGAGAATTTTGAATATCAGGAAGYGATAGACATGAAAGTACAGCAACTCTTCAACAAACAAGTAACACGTTCAGTGGTCTGAGAAAGGGGACAGTGTACAACGTCACAGTGGTCATACGTAACGATAAGTGAGATGGGCCTATTAATGACCATCTAGCCCAGCGAACAATAGAAGATGGTGGGGTCTTCTGATGGATTAACATATCTTTGAATGCAATCTTATATATAACGTTGTTATTTTTGTTGTTGTTGTTGTCGTCGTTGTAATGCAAAACTAAGCTTGAGACTGAGTGTTCTAAATACTCAATAGGTACTTTCTTGCAACGGAGAAAACAGCACATCTAACAATTTGAAATGTGCTTCAACGTACACCTTAAGGCTTGCCACCAAAACAATAACGTTTTTTTAACCTTTTTTTTTTTTTTTTTTTTTTTGCTCTTCCAAACATTACATAAATTTTGTATCTTTTATGTATCAATTTTACTCTAACTCATGAATCAATTTATTACTTTAACCAGCTCCCGGACTGCCACAAAACTTCCAAGTCACTGTGGGCTTTGCCAAGTGAAACAGAATGGTATCATAAGAGGGTTTAAGTTGCGCTACGGAAAAAATGGTAACTCTTCAGAGAAGGATTTACCTGGTAATACGACTCTGTCTTATGTACTGAATGGACTGGACAAATGTACTCTGTACTCCTTCAAAATGTTGGCCTACACAATAAAAGATGGTCCTTTTACACCTGTGATCCTGAGAACAACAGCAGAAAATGGTAGGCATTGATATATGTACTGCTTCATAAACTCGCAAGAGTGTTTTGTCAGGATTTAACACAAGACGTCATGATTTCTGTTGTGTTTCCTTCATGAATTATTAAGGAGTGATTTTAAATATATATATATATATATATATACATAACTGTTTTGTTGCATTGGTGAGACGTGAGATCTTTACATTGTCAATCCATTTATCCATGGGACTATACTGTTTCTTTTACAATAAAATGAATAATTAATTTAATCTTTGTTCGAAGCTGTTTTTGCCTTCGCAAATGAAAACTATTGTGTCTAAATACAAGTACACAGTTGTTGAAGATGGCTTCTATTTCCTTTTTTAAATTCTCCAGCTCCAAATGGTTTTACTTAATCTTGGGATGGAACATTATTCACCCCTGCATCGCTCTTTCTGTGCCACAAGTAAATAAACGCTAACATAATGCTTTTCTGTTTAACTTCTCTAGCTCCAAATCCTCTTACTAATCTTGGAGGAAACATCATTCACTCTATCGTTTTTTCAGTGCCACAAGTAAACAAACCGCTGTCATAAATAATGCTTKTTTTAAAACTTCTCCAGCTCCAATTCCTAGTCGTTCCATGGCATAATCCACCATTCAAAACATGTACAATTATGGCATTATCGAATATAGAACACACACAGTTAAAAAATTACAATATATAACATGACATTTTGGGTCTGTCGACACCGCTAAAAAACCGCTGATTGGCTAATTGAAATATGAACTGAGAGTGCGCAATGTGGTTTACCGCTGAATTTATCGCAGGCGTTCTGACAAAATGGCGGACAAGGAAAGGACTCCTGTCGAGCATTTTTCCTTCCGAAAATCGCAGTTTTTATCTCAAAGACCTTGATTATTTGCCATAGTTTTTTTTAATCAAGAAACGACACAGATGAGAAACACGATGTCCGGTAGATGGTAAATTTTCAAGTTTTTAGTCTTATTCGGACAAAAACAAGTCATCGAGTAAGCTTACTTTTATAAAAAGACAGAGAAGAAATACAATTATTGTTTTCTTGTTCCAAGTCTATTTCAAGATTCTGAACTTGAAAAGCTCATCGATTGTCAAGATAATCAAGTAAATATAGTCATGGACGATGTAAACTTTAAAACTCGCAATAAAAGCTATAGATGAACATGCTTTACATGGGCTTCAACAAACTTTCAKTTTCAAGACGATTTGGAATACAGACTGAAGTTGCTTTTAAAAGGCTAGTTTAATCACCTCCTGGTTTACAATTAAATATTTTCATCACTATTAAAAGGAATTAAATGCAAATTAGAGTCTATATTAAAATGTCTCCAGTGATATTACTTTCATTTTAGTTCAATATTCATCATATTATTATAAATGAAAAAAATCATAATATTATAATAATACTCATTATGTCTAGTGTGGAAGTATGATCCATGCTGGACAGTTCTGTATGCGCTAATAATCTCACCTGATTACAATATCGATCAATGAATTACAAATGCGTGATAAACGAACGCCCTAAACAAACTTAAATACAATAACAACTCTGGCCATGACTTTAGCCGTACCTGCAATGTTTAACTACAAAGTTCATGAAAGCTATAAATCGATCTTGTTCATAATTCTTGTAACAGCGAATTAACATAAATTACCAAAAAAGGTAAATCAGACCCAGCCTGCGCGGCAGTTTTTTACTTTCGMGTTTTGTTTTACACGTGCAAAATCATTTGTAGTATTATTCGTTTATTTTTTCGTATCATAAATTTATGTAGGACTTTTAACCGTCAGGTATGTAAMTAGTRCATTATTTTCCTTATATTCATATTAGTTTTGTAATATTTTGTTTGTTTTTGTTTAGAAACCTCAACTTACGTATACAGTAACCTTATTTCACCTTATCTCACCTYATTTGTCTCTGCATCTTATTGTATTTCGACTGATATTAAGTTACATAAATAAATCGTTTGGCAACAAACCAGCGAACGTTTCTACGTTTCAGTGCCTACAATCCTCAATGGAAATGTAACTTTAAACCGTTGGTTTGGCCCTAGCACGAACCACTATATAACCAAAACGACTAGATGCTATAAAAAAACCTAATTAATTAGACCACACACCACTTTGACAAAGAAAGATTAAACATATCAAAACTGTGGCATAACAATATTATATTCTGATTATTAATTATTTCCGAGTATCTTTACTTGAATACTAGTAATGTAAATATTAATTAAATTAATTGGAAAATAATTTTTGAACCTTTTTTTGAAATTTTGAACTTTTCTAGTTACCCAATAAATATATTTATCGCCTTATTATTATATATTTCACGTTATTTACAATCATTATATTATTTTTAAATAGAATAAAAATCGAAATTGAATTTGGTTACCAATCGGCTACCTTATAAATAATGGCAGCGTCTTTCTTGTTTGACAGGTCTATATTTAGAAATCATTTATCTAAATTCCCCAATGGTCTTTTAGAGTGGTTTTCCTTTACCCGTGAAATGCACTTTAGATAGGGTATTAAGCACTACCTCACGATAACTCTTTTGTTTTCTATTGTCTTTTTGTGACTATCACACTCTATTTAGTACACTTCCTTTCACGGAACCACTCT